AGAGAGAGAGAGAGAGAGAGAGAGAGAGAGAGTAGAGTAGAGAGAGAGAGAGAGAGAGAGAGAGAGAGAGAGAGAGAGAGAGAGAGAGAGAGAGAGAGAGAGAGAGAGGAGAGGAGAAAGAAGAGAGGAAAGGAGAGGACAGAGAGAAAGAAAAGAGAGGAAGAGAGGAGAGAAGAGAAAAAAAAGAGAGCAGAACAGAGGCCAGATGAGGTAAGACAAGATGCGAGATTAGATGAAACGAGATGCAATGAAACAAAATAAGACAAGATGAAATCAGATTAAGAAAGGAAACGTGAAAACTGTTTGTCAAAAATCATGTGGTAACGCGTATACGAGATCGCTTCATCGAAGTACCACGTTGCATGAGAATATTATATCACGGGATTGTCACAACAAAAAAACACTCGATGAACATGGCTGATGACGGGCAACTACTCCGCTTCTCGCGCACAGCATCACAACCGCGATTTATTCAAGTGCAGAACATTTCAAGAGAACTTGAGATTCATTAAACATGAATCGTGGAAACACAGAACACATGAAAGCTGCTATATAAAGGCACCGAGGGCAGCTTTTTTTTATAAAATGCACATTAAACCAAAGAAAAATACTCTACTAACAAATGACCGCCATATTGGTACAAGCAACGTACAGACCACTAATATAGTATTATATAGTAATACAAACTTACTGATTTTCTAAAATCTAAATTGTAATCGTCATGCGTGAAAAATTGAAAATCTCGTACGTAGTGTTGCCAATTTATTTTTAAACTTAGATCAATTGTGTATTTTGAGATGAAAATTATAAAAGTGAAAAAATTCACTATAATATCTGCAAAATTTTCTATATCGAGAATTTTTAAATTTCAAAGTAGAGAAAACTCTTGATAATAAATAAATAATAAATATAAATAAATGTAATAGGGCTAATAACCGAATAAAAAATTTTTTATATAAAAACATATATAAATATATATAAACTTGAATAGAAATTAAATAAGTTAATTTAACCAATTAGAAAAAAGAAAATCTCGTAAATTTAATGCAATTTATTGATCTAATCTCAATCTCTAATCTGATATGGGTATTCTTACGTATACGTTTGGACATACTGTTTGATCACAGTACAATTGAACACATTTATACCGATGCTTGAACATTTTCTACTGCATCAACCAATTAGAAAATTTTATTTTAAAAATTTTATTTTAAAATTTTATTTTACATTATCCAATCAGATCAATCGAGCGTTATCCATATTATGTTTTCTGCCTTAAGGCCATTGCACATAAAATGCATAAAACTGTAGCGAGTAGGCTTTCATTAGGGCCTATTCTCCAAAGATTTTAGGCTGGTATTCATACTCCGTTCTTATATTTAAGATTGTCTTAAGTAAGCTCTTATAGTTATCCTATTGATTAAAATATTATCTTAAGACAATCTTAAATATAAGAACTGATTATGAATATCGACCTTAGTGTTTTTATTCTGATTAAAGCCGGCGACCGGTGCTTTTCTGGATGCTGAATTGCTTGCGTGCTCCTGTGCTGGCTATTTTGCTGGCTATTATGCTGGAAATTGTATAGTCTGCTGGCTGATCTGCTGGATTTTTGTGATAGATCCAGTGCTATTTTTCTTGCGTGGCTTGTGCTGGCTCACTTTGAAAACCAATCAAAATGCAACTATAGATCACGTGATCCATATCCCTTCGAATATCACATATTTTATCATCCTCTGTTTGTTACAACTTGTCAAAGTGAAAATAAATATGACGAAAGAAAAAAATAAATATGTCAAGTGCTTTTTACAAAGGCTGCATTCCGATATTCACTAAAAATATATAGTTCATGTCACATATATTATATTATAGATTTTATATATGCATATTTAGCTTTGTGTCATTTTGTCATTTTGTGTGCGATGCCCATATCTTATGGCTATCGCACACTGAACGCGATGAGCAACGAGCGATGTCCAATAAGAGCTTTTGGATATGATGTTTAAATGCAAAGCTCTCATTGGACATCGCTTATTGCTCGTCGCTCGTCGCGTTCAGTGTACGAGAGCTTAGGTTCATAGGTCTGTGATGCTTGTATTTTAACCTCTTCCGTAATGTTTGTTTGAATATTTTATAAGAAATATTGTATCATATTCAAAATGACATTTATGCTACAACGGATATATTCATTCTGTGTGAAACAGAGGAAGTGTACATCAATGAGCTATTTGATTAAACGCTCTAATCACAAAATCCATACATCCGAAGGTTAGGATATCATACCTACTTTCATACCAATTGAACTATTATTACTAATTCGATAAACAAATTTGTTAGAAGCATATTTTGCAAAAATTTACTTTTGCTATATATGTTATCAGCAACAAAGAAATATAAAGGTCTCTTATTAAAATATAAGAAATTAAAGGAAACGAAAGATGCAAGAAATGGACCATATTATAATTATTTAAGGAGAGATTATCATTTTAAGGATTAAAAAAAATTATATTTTTATGAATTTTTTTGGAAATTTTGGTTAAGTTTTGTATATAAATATATATTTTATCTATTTAATGAGTTTCTTGCAAATAAAAATAATAGATATAATATTTATAAATATGTTTGCGTGACATATTTATATATTGTTTTATATGATTGCCATGGAACCTAGATATTTAATGATTTGAGACAAAACAGTGAATAAGATTATTAATCTACAGATGTTCAGTTATCGTTGAGAATAAAATTATAAATAAAAAACTTTTAAAAAAGAATCTTTTCAATAATTTTAAGGTGTGTGAAAATTATATTTACAAAACCATTAGAAAAACAGTTTATTTAAAAATGAAAAGAAAAAGTTAATATATTTTAATTCTTTTAGTTTCGCTAACTAAACATTTGTAAATTAATAATCTTATTTACTTGTATTTGTTTCAGATCACAGAATGTTTAAATTTTATAGAAGCATACAGATATTGTGTAAACATGTTTATAATTTTTATTATTTTTACTTGCAAAAATTATATATATATATATATAATTTTAAATAAATCTGCATAATTCCAAAAAAATTCTTAAAAATAGTTTTTTTTCTAAATCTTGAAATGATAGTCTTTTCTTAAGTATAATGTTTTAATCAAATGGTATATTTAATTAACAAAATTTAGATATTATGATATGGCAGAATCTGTTTGATTTCTACTGTTAATTTGCACATATAAATTCTGCACAAGTATAATGCAAATTTAATATCTATTAAAATATATGATTGAATCTACTGCAGATCTGTTGCTGATATTTTGTTTATTGGATAATATCTTATATAAACTTATTAAATAATATATTATAAATTTTTTGTAGATATGTCCCATGGGGAAGACAAATTGCAAGATTCTAAAACAGACGTAAATACGTAGGTAAAATAAATATATTTTTAGTCTTATATAAAATTTAAAAATAAATTTTTTAAACGCAGTATAAAATTGATAATTTATATTAAAACTTTGCATATTTGTATGACAATATTTTTCTTGAAACTAAGAATATATTTCATATTGTCATATATTATTCAAAATTTCAGTAATAATAAAAGACAAAATAATTTGAGAAACTGTTAAGCATATCTTTATGTTATGTGATATGAAGAAAATTACTTGCATAATCATACACTTTTAATATTTAATTGGCCAACAATGATGTTAGTATTGTTACATAGATATAATATATAAGATAAGTTACAAAGACCATAACAATATAATAATAACAATATTGTTGAGAATTATAAAAGAGTTGTAAGAGTTATAAAATAAGTCTAATGCTATATTATGATTTGTGTTATATATGTTTATATTATGATTCTTTTGATTGGACATCCTTTAATTATCTATTTTCTTTTTAGAGTCAATGTCACTTTTATTGACAAAACGGGCAAGAAATTTAGAACAAAAGGAAAAGTAGGAGATAATGTACTTTTTCTAGCTCATAAATATGGAATTGAAATGGAAGGAGCATGTGAAGCCAGTCTAGCATGTACAACTTGTCATGTGTATGTACATCCTGATTATATAGATAAACTTCCAGCTCCTGTGGAAAAAGAAGATGATCTCTTGGATATAGCACCTTTTTTGAAAGAAAATTCTAGGCTAGGTATATTCAACATTTATTATTGTTTTTGATATATCTCATAATGATATCTGTATTTTTTATCACTGCCTTGAAGTGAACTGAAAATTTTTTACCGTTGAAATTTAAACATATATTTATTTTATTTTAAATATAGTGAATATAACATGAAATCAGCTATAAAGAACGAACTTTATATGGCATTCTAATAAATTTTCTTCACATTTTTTAATTCTTTACATACAAATCATTTCTTAATGATCATACAATATACAAATTATTCTTAATGGTCATTTCGATGTTAAATATTAAATTTATTCATTGCAAGAATTAATAATCGACGAATATTACCGCTAGTCATTTTTAAAGACTTTGTTTATTTTGTACATTAATTATAATTTGCAAATAATACATTATAACTTAGATAAATGATAAAAAAAAGAGCTTCTTAATGAATCAACAACGTAAAAGCAAATAAGAAGAGCTTAAATTTTGAAGAATGCACGTGCGCGCGCGCGTGTGTGTGTGTGTGTGTGTGTGTGTGTGTGTGTGTGTGTGTGTGTGTAAAACCTCATGTACATAAGTCTTTTTTATATTTTTCTTTTAGGTTGTCAAATAATTCTGAAGAAAGAATTAGATGGCATAGAGTTAGAATTACCTAGAGCAACTAGAAATTTCTATGTGGATGGACACATACCCACCTCGCATTAGAAAATTATTTATTTTTTATATTTAACTTTAAATTAAACAAATTTGTAAATAATATCATCTGTAATGTATAATAAATAGTGTTATTTTAAATTAATACATATATTTTCTCATAAAAGATTAGAGATACGTATACAAAATATAAAAGTATCAATCTAAATTCCTAGTGTAGTGCATCATATTATATTTATATTATATTTCTTATAATGCATATCTTCTTTTTTTAATTATAATCTTTTAATTATAACAATTTTTAAATTATGTAATATTAACATATTTGTGATATATAAATCTGAAAATTATTAAGAAAATTAAGATTGATTTCTTTGCTGCACTTCTCAATGGTTTCTTATAACACTGTCTTTGAATCAATACGACCAGAATCACAGTATAATCAGTATAAATGCTTGTATCGATAATAGGACGAATATAGAAATGGTGCAATAAATGCTTTGTCTATATGCAATATGACCGTTTATGCTTGTCTACTACAAATTTCATCAATTCAATCTATGTTCTTGCATTTAATAGACGAGTTTTTTAATACATCGATTAATAAATCGCATTACGCGCAAACTTTGCTCTATGCAACTTTGCTCTATAAAAGCAGCATTTGCGCATTATGTAATTACTCAATCGAATTAAAAAACTTGCTTAATTTCATTGGGAGTATATCTAACAACATGGCCTGTGCAAATAGACCTATGTGAATTCGCATTCCATTGCTAAGTGCTCATACTGGTTCGTACTCTTCGTACTCTTTTACATCGCGTTGAATCAAGCTGGATTTAAAAACATTAAATATATCATTTGATTCTTGTTTATCGAAGGTTTATCGAATGTTAAGGATCGGAGCACATATATACTTCTGTATAATGCATTATGCATAAAAAAATGAACCAATCAGAATCTTTCATTTCCACCGTGAGGGTAGAAATGGAGGACTATGACTGGTTCATTTTTTATGTATTAATCTCGGTCTACAATCAGGTGAATTAGGCCTTAAGCCATAAGAAATTGACCAGTCATAGTCAATTATTCTCCTATTCTTTGATTATGATTCGTCCATTTGTCTTCGATTTAGATCTAAAATAGTTTTTCCTAAACATATTTATATGCATTTATCTATAGTTCATGCCACGTACACTGTAACAAAAATGCGCGCATATTCACTTTACGAAATTCAGTTCATTGCTCGTCGTTAGATATAAGCTGCGTCCCGATATTCACTAGCCAGTACTGAAAATCTATAATATACGTGACACGAACTATACATTTTCAGATACAGTGAATATCGGAACGCAGCCACAGACGTAATAATTATTTACGAACAATCTATGAATTCTACATCTATGGTTGTATCAGAATACTAGTTATCGACTGTGTTATCCATACTGTTCAGTCAGAAGATCGCGTGTGGCGCGCTTGATTGCACGGGATTGTGTGTAATATTGATGAATGAATCCTGTTGCTCAGGCCGGCGGTTTTATCATGAAGTAGTCAATAATATTACATAGATGCGATTTTCGGATTCGTTGGATGAGTGTATTTGTGTAATATTCGCGAACACTGTTCCTTTTCTTAGCCACATTCGGATTATGATTGGCGATTAATTCAATTGTCTTACAATAATCGCGCGATCGGAGTTATGAATATGGGCGTGAGTGCGTTTCTTGCATGGTAAAGTGCAAAGTGTTTTTCGATAGTTTTTCCTCTGGAAAGTCATCGGGTTCAAGCGAAAAAAAACGTGCGATCGATGAAATTGAAATAGCTTAAGGAAGCAGGTGTGATAAAGTGTGATATTAAAGGTGGATGGGCGTGTGGCGATAACTGTGCACGGGGAGAGCAAAGTAAAGGTGGAGAAAAGGAGGAGGAAGAGGAGGAAGAGGAGGAAGAGAAGCAGGAAGTAGAGGAGAGAAGGTAAAAGTGAAGGTGGTGGGTGGCAGGTGGAAAGGGAGGTGGAGGAGAAAGAGGAGGAGAAAGAGGAGGAGGAGGAGGAGGAGAAGGAGGAGAAGGAGTAGAAGGAGGAAGAGGAGGAGGAGGAGGAGGAAGTGGTGGTGGAAGTGGCGGCGGTGAAGGAAGAAAAAGAAGAGGAGGAGGTAGTAATGATGGACTGGGGCGCTGTGTTAATGTTGATGCTCGTCTAAAAGAGCTCTGTGGAGTAGAATCACACGATCGAATGTCTTTTCAATGTGATGAAAATGGTGAGATATGGGAGAGAGTGGGCTTTGAGTGAAGGCTTCGATACTTCAAATCATGACAGAGCCTTCAGACGAGTAAGTATGCACGAAGAACGCTTTTTATTCTCGCGCTACATATTTGTTTCAGGACCGTTCCATTCTGTCAAAATGCGTTTTTTCTCGTTATTATTGCATACATTTCCCTAACATTTAGTACGCATCACTCGGCCGTACTTTCATCTCGTTTATATGATTTTAATTTCCGTCTCTTCCTCTTTCTCTTTGCACGTTCTTTCTATCTTTCTCTCTCTGTCACTTCATTTTTTTCTTCTAGATTTTACTTATGGATTATCGACTAACATCGATAAATTTCCCGGTTAATCCTCTTCTCTCTGAGCGCGTCTCGAGATATATTGTAATTCGCCATACATCTGTTTTTCCCATCTTATTTGTTCTTCCGTTGGTTCTCTTTCTTTCTTTTTCTATTTGCTTATCCACTCTCATATCCCTTGTTCGTCTCTCTTCTTCTAACCCTCCAATAGTGTGCTATCCTGTGTCGTATATGAACGGTCGTTCATTCATTAAATCGATGTCAGTGTGTGTAACATCTGGCTGAATGGTCGTCTGCGCGATGTTCTCAAGATTCGCACAAATAGTAAAATAAAATCATATATTTTTCAATAAACCTTTAAATTCACACTTTTAAACACACAAATTACAATTTCATATTGTTTCTGATTTTAAAAACTTATTGTAGATAATAAAGATTAAAAAAATGATTATATAAAAATATTTAAAAATATATATTTTGTGATTATATATTAAAAATTTTTTGTTTATAATAACATCATAAGAGTCATGAGTCATGTACTTGTATACACAGAAGAAAATCAATCAATTAATGTCAATTATTATATATAATATTAACTTGGATTGTTTATTACTGTTAATAAATTATACAGTAACGACTGGGATGAGTTTTGATCACTTGATAAAAAGCAATTAAGAATGTATAATCTTTTTGATGATATAATGTTCTAGAATATTAGGATTAGGATAATCAAATGAATATAATCGTATTTAAACGTTCAATATTTAAGAAAGATATACATACTAGAAATATAATTATATAAACATTATTTCAAGATTAATCTATCAAGAGTTTGATATGTTTTTAATTTTTTTCTTTATTTTTAATTGAACTAGAATTAATGACGCATTTAATTTTATTGATTTTGAATCGATTAAACACTACTACAATTGAAAACTATTATAAAATATTGTTGAACTTAGATGTTTTTTTTTTATTAAAGCTCTTTCAAACTGGATATAATTTTTTCTTAAAAATTTTTTCTCTAAAATTGTTTAAAAATAATTATATATTATGTCAAATGTTTTAACTATTTATCTATAATTTTTATGATAATGATTTAACAATACATGTTAGTAATATAAAATAAATTTGTTTGTACTTTGTTTTTAACAAAATTAGTTTTTTTAAAAATTAATATAATTGGCAAAATAATGATGTTTTTTTATATTTTTTTATATTTTTATATGCCATTTAATCTTGTATGTATTATTACTTTTCCATTTTATTATTGACAATATACATGTTTATTATGAATCTAATTTTAAGATTCTGACATATGTACATATGTGATATATGCATAATATAAGTAATTATTATATTTGCTTTTTACAGTGGTAATTATCTAGTAAGGGTCCATGCCCAAGTAATGACAAGAGATGATAGTTCTGGTGGTTGGGTTCCCTTGAGTGGAGGTGGCTTAGCAAATGTCTCAGTGAAACGTAGGGTTACTTCTTCAGGAGTACATCAAACAAACAATACTAATGGAACCACTATTTCCACTACGACCAATCCTACGTATACTGTCTCTAGTGCAGGAGTTGGTCTTCAAAATCATGGATCTTCCAATATCTCCTCACCTGGTGCTAACAAAAGAAAACATGAATATCTTATTTACGGGAAACGTATTACCGATCAATCAGTAAGTCTTGCAATTTATATAAATATAAATATTTTATTATTTAAATAGATTATTTCAGAGAAAATATCTGAATATTTTAATAATTATATTTAACTTAGCTTAAATCAATATTAATGCAAAATATAACATCAAATATATCAATTTATGAATTCATTATATATGATTTGTAAGAAAATAAATGTCCCTCTTTTTAGGTTGTTCTTAGTTGTACAATTAAAAAAGATTTTGAATATAATAAGGTAATGCCAACTTTTCATCACTGGCGGACAGGAGAAAAGAAGTTTGGTTTAACATTTCAAACAGCAGCTGATGCAAGAGCATTTGATAAAGGTGTTCGAACAGCAGTTGAAGAATTATTGGAAGGTATAGCATTTTGTGATAAAATCAAATCTAAAAAATTTAATGCTTACAAAAATAATTATTAACATTCGAAAATTAAGTCCACAATGTATTAGTACTAAATGTTCAAATTATAATATTAACAATATGATCTAAAATGCAAAAAAGTAAATAATAAATAAATACTATTATTATATAGTATATATTAGAATTATTCTGTGATGAAATAAATATGATACTCTAGGGCATGGTATATTCTTTTCTATTTTATGTAGTTATGGATATTTTATCTTGTTTTTTAGTTAGAATTATTAAAATATAAATAAATTCTACAACATATGTGCTATGCAATTATAAAATATGTCAAAATTATTCATATTATCACAAAATAATTCTATATTACAAGACTTTTTACAATATCTTTTTACAATATCTATTAATTTATTCGTTCTCATCATTTTGCTGCAATTTATTATGGATTGCACAAAAATGGTAAGCTTAGGCTTAAAGTCATATTTTATTGTTTGTTTCCTATTTTTGATTTGACTTTATTACAAAATTTTATATTTTAATGTGGTAGGTCTGTCTGATTTAACATTGACCACCAATATTCCAGACGCTGGCGATGAAGATGTTTTCATGGTAAAAAGATCCATTCTTTTATCTATTATTTTTATTAATTTTAATGATGAATATTAATTGTAAATATTAATCACGATAGAAAGAAAAATATTATGAAAAAAGAGAAAACTGAATAAAAAAATTTTTTTATTTGGACATGTTTATTAAAATTAATAAACTTTACAGACTTTAAATTTGCCAGTGGAACCACCTGAGCCACGTTCGTCTTCAGATACACCTCATGGAATTCGAGTGCCCAATTATTCCCAATATTCGGAGCTTCCTGATTCACACCGATCTATTCACTATATTGGTGGTTCTATCATTAAAGCCCCACCGTCACAACATCCTTTGGCACCTGCCACGGACATTGGATCAGATAATTATCCCTATGTCCAACTTACAACACTTAATCATGAATATCTATATCCTATCATTGATGATCACAAGGGCGAAAGATTAGATGGACACAATACTTCTAATAACAGAAGCTCTCTGAAAAAGCCAGACACAATAATATCACAACCTTCAAAAAATACTGTGAAACGTAATGTGCGTTTACGTTGTAAGCATTGTCAAGAACTGTATTCGGAGCAACATAATCCAAAAGGTTCCTGCGAATATGCTCCTGATCCAATTAGACGTGGAATTGCAACAATTTCTTGTTTGTCATGTGCCCAATGTATGTTATATCATTGCATGAGTGATGCCGAAGGTGACTTTGCACAAAATCCTTGTAGGTAAGTATGATATTTTAACTATCAGGCAATTTCATTTTTTAATTATTTTTTCATTATATTATTATTTATTTTATATATATATATATATATATATAGTACACATTTATTTATATTATTTTTAACTATTTGTTTTACATTGTTTTGTATTACAAAAGTTTGACTTTTTTAGGAATTTATTGCATTTTAAAATTGTTACAAAGATTGTCTAAAAATCATTAGATCAGTCTTTTTTTAGGAGATATTTTTGGATGTAACACTACTTTTTAAATTATACGTTAGTATCTATTATTATTATTATTAAATATTGTTCCGATAATATTTATATTTTTTTAAAAATATAATTTATGAATATTGTAATCGAATAAATTACAAATATCAAATTGTGCAGTTGTAGTACAGAAGAAGGATGTGGACGCAGATGGTTTGGTTTGGCCTTGTTGTCACTGATCGTTCCTTGCTTGTGGATATATCCTCCTCTTAAAGCTGTACATTGGTGCGGGATATCTTGTGGAATGTGCGGTGGACGTCATCATCCTATGGAATAGTTGGAAGAACCCTTTGATGTCTCTGCTTCGTACTCTATTGCTTCAGACAACTTTTCTGCATTGTACAGTGCAGTCGCCAACGTATATGAATGTCATGATTTGAGTATGGGTCGTTGTCAGAGGTATCAAAGGGGTAGACAGTTTCCAGTGCACGCACTTATCCATCAGAGTCATCTTTAAGAAAAAAAGAAACGGTCGAAGAAGAAAGACCAAATTTAGCACAAGATGTTACATGTAAACTTAACATATTCCATACTTTTTGTATATTTTATTATAGAACAAAGTGCATTATTTATAGTCCCACAATGTATATTAAACAATTTGAGTGAAATCAATCTAGTATTTATACAGTTTGAATAATTGATCTGTGGAAATCAGCAAATGAACTCAGACCAACTATATATGTATATGTATATATATGTATATATTATGTGTATATATATATATATATATATGTGTATGTATATATGTATGTATGTATATATATGTATATATATATATATGTATGTATGTATATATATATATATATATGTATGTATGTATATATGTATATATAAAATATATATATATATATATATATGTATGTATTTGTGATATATGGTGCACATTGTGAGAGCGTAGCTTCTATGAGTCAACACGATTAAAATTTTTGTATTTTCTAGTTTTAATGATTATTTGCTTCATGATATTTAATGATATTATCAGACAAATAAATAATTAAAATATGTTTGCTGAGATTATCAATGTGAAGAATGTAAAAGTATTGTGATTATTAGATCTGACTTAAACACTAAAACAATAAGTCAATCTTTTTAAATTTATTTATGTTCTGCGTATTGATATTATAGAAACGCATGTTCACTCTATCGATTGATTTAAATATTCTTGAATTAATTTAAATGGACAAAAATATTGACAAATTAGAAGATAGACATAAGATTTATCTTTTACTTTTTTCTTTCAGTATTTATCTTTCACTATTTTATTCATCTCTAAAAAATTAAATGTCTATCATATATTAATTATGAAAAATATTTAATTAAAAACTTAATTTAGAAAACTGTTTCTGATTGTAGTATAGAATTACACTCCTTTAAAAAAATAGTTCATACAAAATATTAATCCAAGAAAAAATAAAAAGAAAGACTATTATGAAACAATATATTCAGCAATTTGATTATTTTGTTTCGGATAATAAATTTTTATACTATTATTGTTATAAAATGATTTGTGCGGGCGCGCGCGTGTGTGTATGCTTGAGAAAGAGAGAGAGAGAGAGAGAGAAAGAAAGAGAGAGCATATAGCATTTTAGAGTCGCATATATTTGAAATTATGTTTATTTTATGCAATTATTTATAAATTATTATTAAAAAAATCTTTTTATTGAGTCAACAAATCATTGATGCTTATTAATGTTATTGTGATATTATAAAATACAATATTATAAAATATATTAACTGTCAAGGAAATATTGACTTTAAAAATTTCATTAATAAGTTTGAAATTATTTTTATTGACTATAATATTGATTGATTGTACAAATTATACCTGAAACTTGTAATTTTGAGAATTATAATAAATCTGTGGAAATTAAATTTACTTTTTAATCTTGTAATATTTTAATGTACGTAATGAATTATAAATTTTTAAAATCGTTATTAATTTTTAACATTTTTTTAGATTTAAATTATATTTAAATTAACATGAATTTAGATATGTAAAAAAAACAAATATAAATTCTATAAATAAATTTAAGATTCACTATGATTATCAGAAGAGAGACATAACAAACATTTTTGCAAAATATATTAAAATAGAAATGAAATAGAAAATTTTTTAATAAAATAACGTTTACAATTGATAAGCTTGTAAAATATACTTAGAAACTTTCTTTTCTTTGATAATTAATAAATAACTATATATCTAAAAAGAATTGTGTCTAATTAAGAAAAATTACCATTTAATTTTAAATATTTTATTATTTGTTAATTATTGAAGCAAAAAAATTTTTAGTATATTTTATAGATTTGTTCTATTAACTACAAACATTATTTTATCAAAAAATACTTCTACTTTAATGTATTTTGTAAGAATGTTTATCCTTTTTTTGTTTCTAATGTCATAAATCAAAATGATTGTAAGAAACATAAAAGAAATCTTAAAACTGCTCTCGAACAGCTACATCGGTTTTATGTCATAGGCGAGAAATGACATAATTTCATTGCGATACGTAGGTTTATTTCTTATTGTTAGTTTTCTCTTAAAATCATAATAATTTCGTGATCCTGAAACTTGTAAAATATACGGGAAACTGAGACATTTGTTTGATCTGTCACGTAGCAATAAAATAAATTCTGAAATAACAAGTCATTCTTAGCTGTCACGGCCGTTTGAACATGGCTCAGATCATCTATTTTGATGCTAAAAGTGAGTAATGAGCGATGGATAAAAAGATATATATACATCTTGAGGATACTATTTCATTTGTCGACAAATGTTTTGAACCCGTTGATTGGTTACAAAATAGAACATTTTTTGAATTTCAATTTGATTTGAATTGAATTTCAATCATTTTTAGAAGATTTAAAGATTTTACTATTTTATAGCCAATCAAAAGTCATTAAAAAAAAAAATTGTGACAAAATATTAGTGTAAAATCACCTTTTTTACATATCGTATGGCAAATTTTTTAATCATAGATATTATTTTTTATATAAACAATACAATTACTTTCTCGTGAATAATAAAATAAATACGAAATATAAAAATTTAAATATACTTAAACATAACTTTTCGGAATGTTTTTAGAATAATTTTTAGTATGTTTTTAAAATGATCTTGGAGCATTTTAGGAATAAATTTGGTGTAAAATTTATCACTTTATTCTAAACACTATTATCAAAACTCAGATACAATAAAGAAGGTGAAAAACACAAAAATTAAAAATAGGGAATTACAGATAAATTAAAATAAAAAATATACTTAACAAATATCAGGAAATGCGAACGCAATATAAATAAATCTAAGCCTGGATCCTCATGCAGACACCGGCGCTTTGACACTGAACGCTGATTGATAAAAAAACGGATAATTGGGGTAAATAATAAAAATTCACTCGCCGTTTTATCCCCGCTACTCATTTTTCACCAATCAGCATCTGTGTCAAAGCACTGGTGTCTGCATGAGGATCCAAGCTTAAGATGTTTTTTTTTATATCGATTGACGCTCAGTATTAAAATAGATTACATTAGAGTGATCAAAAGTGACTGTTCAAATTATATTAGTCTGCATTAATTTTTGATCTTTTTTTTTTATAGCTGAAGTAATGTATACTCGTAGTATTTAAAATGAAATAGATATATATATTTGAAGTTTAACAAAAGCGAGGTAGAAAGTTTTAGCGCAAGAACAGTCTAGAAACAGAAAACAAATCTTTAAGTTAATTACTTTTTTTAACGCTAAAAATGAGCGTTAACGTGAATTAGTGCCTTTATATATTTTTTAAATCTAGAGGATTATTCCAATATAATCCAATCTCAAGAAACTTCCAACAGTTCTGAAATGAATGTTTTGTTGAACGCGACCAGATTTTCTACCTGCGAATGATATATATATATATATAATACTGTGTACGCACTATACACGTGTGATTGTAACTGACGGCCGAATATTAGGTCTTTGTCAGATTCGTTACACACCAGTATTCATTAGCGTGATGAATTTTTGGAGTTGGGTCATCAATACGGCACGTATAATGACTTAGCTAATTTCAAATGATAGTTTTATAATGTATCCTGCGAAAACAAAGTTAATGACGTCGCGTCATTCTATAAAACCTCAGGACCATTTGAATTGACGCCAATTAATTACCGATTACCGCGCATAATATTATATATATATAAAAAAAAATGTTAAGTAACGATAATTAATTCCAATGGAGAGAGTCTGAAAAAAGAAATGAATAGTAATTCTGCTTAATATTTATATATGCGAGACATAGTAATGTTGGTTGGAGTCGCAATGTGGACAGAGATATAAAGATCTTCTACAGAGATATAAAGATTTTGTCCTGAATTATCTTTGTGTGTATCCTGCGTTTCTTTTTAGATTAATGTAAAGATGTTTTCATTCGTGTACGATTTGTGGCCAGCGATGGAGGATATTATAGGTAAAAATATTGCATTAATATAAATTTCAATACATGTCGTCATTAGAAACATACTGTTTAGAAATGCTATGTAACACAATTGTCTTTATCTTTACATAATACATTTATTTGCATGTTTAAATATATAGTGCTTATTTGTACAAGTATCCCATCCAAAGTAATTTTTTGTATCAAGGAAATTAAAGTGATACATTTGTGCATTTGTCATCTTTAAAAATTTTTGAAGAATGTACTTTGTATTATTTACAGTTGAATACATTGATTTGGACTTTACATTATGGCTATCATGGTTGTTAATGCCACTCCTCATAACATTTTTACTTCCGCTTGTAATTGTGCTGCTGCTGTACTTAAATACCTTAATAATATACATCTACAAGTTACACAGGTTTGAAAGAAATATAACTTATCAATCACAAGTTTTACTTTTATTGATCGATTTAATATTAACTCTCGTTTGTACCGAGTCAATAATTGCTACAAAGTTAATTTACTTTTAGAAGCAATGAAAGTTATGTGTACATCTGCCATTAATATTAACTAAAATCTTCTCTTTGGCAGAATCAAAAGGAAAAAAAAGTTTTATGTTCATAATTTGTCAGTTAATAGAAATTATGTGAAATCTTTTTTTTTTCAGAGCTAGATTAAGAAATGCCTATGGTACTGCTTGGCGAGATGCAGCTCTACATATGATGGCAGCTGTCTGGGATGGACATGGTTGGATTTGGCATGGTACGTTTGATAACCATAAGAATTGTGCACACTGAAATTACATTTTCATATTGATTTTACATATAAATGTTTTAGTATAAAAGATTTATAAAGATATAAAATTCTTTAATAGGATATGAAATTCAGGGCTTAGAGAATATTCCGCAGGACAAACCAGTATTATTTATATATTACCATGGAGCTATCCCGATCGATATGTATTATTTTATATCTAAAATATTTCTATACAATTCCAAACTAATCTGTACGGTAGGGGATCGATTTCTTTTCAAGATTCCTGGTTGGTCTGTAATTGCTGATGTTGCGAAAATTATACCCGGTACAATTCAAACATGTTCCGCTATTTTAAAAGAGGGAAATATGCTCGCTATTTCCCCGGGTGGAGTATACGAAGCTCAGTTTGGAGATTCCTATTATGAACTTATGTGGAAGAAGAGAATGGGCTTTGCAAAAGTTGCTTTGGACGCAAAAGTGGTATGCTTTCTCGTGAAATTTTCTATTATTTTACTTAGTTTTTATTTTGTAATATTTATTTTTTGTATAGAATATAATTCCTGTATTTACGAGAAATGTTAGAGAAGCATTTAGAACGGTAAGTTGGGGAAGAAGAATATGGTTGAAGATATACGCCAAGACAAAATTTCCTTTTGCACCAATCTATGGTGGTTTTCCGGTAAAATTGGTGACTTATGTGGGCAAACCCATTCCATACGATGGGAATCTTACACCCGAAGAGTTGCAGCTAAAGGTAAATGATTACGAGGAGATAAAACACATATTCCAAACATTTTTCAAACAGTATAATTTCAAAACAATTTTAGGTTGCTAATACTCTTAGAGATCTAATAAGGAAGCATCAAAAAGTACCTGGTAACATAATGCGAGGTTTGATAGAAAGAATACGTAAAGTAGAAGAATATGAGAATTAATAATAATCTGCTTTGATGTATGTAATAACTAATCCTTTTGAAAATTATTTTACTTTGGTTAGATCTTTTTTTTAGATATTAGCGTTAAAAAAAATAATATAATAAAACTGTTTTATTTAATAAAAGTTTTTCTATATGTATTTATATTTTTTTATATTTGTATTTAAATTTATTTTGAGTATTACGAAAAAAATAGTTTATTTATATTTCTCGTAAAAATTTATATAATGCAGACAAGTGGCATTTTATGCAATGTGAGATAATTATATTATTATTATTGCGTATAATAAATATAAAAAACAAATGTGATCATATAACAATTATATTTTCATATTTTGTTATTTTATATATTTCTCCTTTTCTACTTTATTAACAATATTTTAATACATATATTAATATATTATATCGATTATATTATATTAATATATATATATAATTTTATATAAAACGGAGTTATAATAAATGATAATTTATTCTTAATTGTACAACTTGTTTATTATTATTCTTCTTTTTTTATGTGTATTTAGTTTATATTATGAGCATCTATCATCACAGAAATAATATATTCTGTTTAGTAAATGTTAAGAGTCAATAAAAAATGTTAATAATCATAATTTTATTCATTAAGAATAACTGAATATTTATTTGATGCAAATAGTACTTACAAGTAATCATTAGTGTAAATTTTGTGAATATATTTATTATAATAACATTTTATAATAAATGGTGATTATATTAGGTAATATATATATATTATAATTTTAATTATAATAATTATATCACAATAATTCGAAAAATATTATTACAATAATAACACTAGCTGCGCAGTAATGATTATTATTCCTGATTATATAAATTTTAATTTTGCCGATACAATCTTACATTTGCAATTACAAAAAATAACAATCTTAATAATAAAATCAATAAAATATATATATTTATTTATTACATTTATATTAAATTTGTATACTTTAATTTGCGCGCGTGTGAAATTTTCCCATAAAATGGATGGATTCAGCAATTGAATATGATTGGATGGGGTTTATGATTGATCAATTTCTTACAATTTAAAACTTATTTAAAAAATTTTTTTAAATTTACTAAGGGCCGAGGTACACAAAAAAACTTAAGCAGTAAGGAAATCAACGTTATGGATTTGCTACTGCTTATGTTACTGTCTTACGTTCTCGACTGTGATTGGCTAATTCGCTTTCTGCTTAAGTTTTCTTGTGTGCCACGGTCCTAATTTTCGACGTGTGAAGTTGCAAATGCTCTAGTGAATTTCTTCACTTATGAAATTTTTACCACAATTAACTCCCCCTCCCTTCGTCATCTTGTTTGAAGCATTGTGAAATTTGAACGCACCCGGTCTGTCATTACGTGCGAGTTTCCTCACTTAAATTTCCTGTGTGTTCAACGGTGGACGCTTGCGCCGTGTCGCTCCCCCGTGAAAGTACGGTTCTTTCACTCGCGAGCTTGCTATAAACTTTTCCTTTCCTCACGAACGTCGTCGTCACGCGCGCGCGCTCCGTGCAAGTGTCGTTCTCGTGTCCGCGGGCCATCGCGTCCTTCGTCGTCTACGCGCCACCTGCCACTGTCCGCGACAATAAGGCGAATTGTTAGACACCGGTGACCGCTTTGGCGAGCAGCAGCGCGTGATCAGAATCCCTCGTCGTCTTCGCTACTTCATGCAACAATATGAGTGACTACTCAGCGGTCGCGCCGCCTCAAAATTACAGCCAGAGCACCGCGTTCGCGGCGGCACTCCAGCGTGCTAAACAGGTAACCACGACTTCGCTGTGAACACGTCGACGATGGCGTCTCCCACGGGGAAGCCTCACGTCGATTCCGTCTTGTTGGGTGCGTGACGTGATTTACAGTATGTCCCAAACAAGAATCGCCTTCCCCCCCCCTCTTCCAAATCTCGCATTTTAGCGAATCGATCAAATTGGAGAAAATCTTTTCTGTGCGTCGCACAAGCTTCATAGAAGCTGAACTTTCACTTTTGTAAATTTTCTAATTTTCTCTAATCACCAGACTGCAAAGTTATACCGTTTATAACATTGTCAATTTTTTCTTTTTATTCCAATTTTTAGTCAATCATAATTTTGTCTTTGAGCAGTTTATTTGATATTTATTAGCTGGAAAGTCAGCATTTTTTGGGGCGTATTTAGATATATCTGACTAATCTTTCCAGATTGCTGCAAAGATAAATCCTGCTGGTGCACAAAATAATCAAGATTCTAAGTTAAAACGTCCACTTGAAGATAGTTCAGGTAACATATATTTAAATTAACATAAATACTAATTAAACTAACTAAATATGTATATTTAAAATATATATGTATATAATTAATATTATCTTAATAAAGCTAACAATTTATTTTTTAGAACATAATAGCCGATAGCTAGCTAACATATTATATATTAATATCATTGTGCTTTCTGTATTCATAGAACCTGAAGCAAAGAAAATGGCATCGTTAGTAGCAGATCCTCTAATAGGTATTCGTGGAGGACCCGCAGGCAATTCCATTGGAGATTCAGGTGGTCAAGGAGCCAGACCATCAGTTTCTTCCAATTTAGGTGGTATATGCAATGAAGATATTAGAGTTCCAGATAAAATGGTTGGTTTAAGTAAGTAAAATTGTTGAAGAGATTACTAGTATTCTCTGTATATATAGAAATAAATTGCAAATTTGCAAATTGCAAATTTTAATAATGATTCATAATCTGTCATAATAATTTAACAAGTTGTTATTATAATATTTTTAATTATTGTCTCATGTACATGAAATATTACCATATAAATTTGATAGTTTATATATATATATATATTTATATATATACATATATATATATATATATATATATATTATTAAATAGTTAAATATTATTATTGTTTTAATATTGATCAGTAAAGTACTTATCATATTATATTTCAAAATAGTTATGAATATTGTGTTTGTTATATTAACTATTCCCCTGATATATTTGTAATTGAAAATATAGTAGAAGACTTTATGTATATAGTAAACAGATTATTACGTTTAAATAATGATAATATATTTACAGTAATTGGCAGAGGTGGAGAACAGATAACCAGATTGCAAAGCGAAACAGGATGTAAAATACAAATGGCACCGGAAAGTGGGCTGCCTGAGCGTGTTTGCACGCTAACTGGTTCACGAGAAGCTGTCAAGTAACTTGTTTTCCCTTCTTATTTCGTTAATTTTAACTATTTTGTATGCAATGCAATATCACAAATCTTTCATGTATACAATAATGTGAATTATTAGAATTTACTTTCATCTGTTACTCTTAAATGTAATTTATCTTTTATTAAAAATGGGATATGATTGCCGGTCAAGTTCCACGTTTATAGACTGGGTTGCGGAAAGTTACTTCTCTGTCAAAATTGTTATATAAATCAGCCAAGCAAATCTGCTATCCTCCTTAAATTTATATAGGGATGTTTCATATTCTAATTTATTTAAGTACAAATGTTTTTATCATACTCCCATCATGTCACTCCCAAAAAAGCAATTAAAAAATCATTTTACATCATTTTACAAAGTGCGATGTTATGTGACGATATATATGAAATATGCAATGCTTTACAACTTCGTTTGTTGGAAAATATAATTGGGATATGATTAATTCTTATAACATAGCTTATATGCCAATATATTTTATAATATGCTACAATTTCATCCCTAACATGCATTGAATGTAGGATATATGCTTTCGCATATTGAAATTTTGAAATGTTTTACAGAATCTTTATTTAGCTCCTGGATGCCAGTAGCGGGCTCAAACTTGACTTTCTATACGCTTCAGAATTTCTGGCCATTGAAAATTAATTAATGAGTTGACTTTTTGATTTGATAATTTTATATTTACTAATAGTTTTTTGCTTTTAATAGGGTATGAAGAGAAGGAAGGAAGGAGGATAGGATATGCATGGGGACGTGTTAATCACAACATGAAGAAAATTTTATTTATTTCTTTGAAACTCTGCTTATGATTAAATCTATATATGGCATTTTTTGATACCCATATATGGCATTTTGAAAATCTTTGAAATCTTTTATTATAACTGTTTAAGAACATCATTGATTATTAAAAAAAGAGAAATATTACAAATGTGATATATAATTTTGTTCTGCAATAGATATTAGTGTATATTTATGTGTTGCAAACAAATTTTATTGTTGTACGTTGATTTAATCTTTTGACACCTGTAAAACAGTTTAATTGAAAAAAAATATTGCACAGTTATATTTCATATGTTTCAGTCGCGCGAAAGAGCTTGTATTATCAATAGTGAATCAAAGAAGCAGAAGTGAAGGAATCGGCGATATGAATATGAGTGGCAGTAGTGGTGGAATGATGGGACATCCAGGATTTGTCGAAATAATGATTCCAGGTCCTAAAGTTGGTCTGATAATTGGTAAAGGTGGAGAGACCATAAAGCAACTTCAGGAGAAGTCTGGAGCTAAAATGGTTGTTATTCAAGAAGGGCCATCTCAGGAACAAGAAAAGCCTTTAAGGTAAGACGAATATCTTTTTTCTGCATAAGTACAATTATCCCTCTTAATTTTATCTGTCAAAGCAATATTGCATAATTATTTATAGTTAACACTCTCTTTTGGCAGAATAACAGGAGATCCTCAAAAAGTTGAATATGCAAAACAGTTGGTTTACGAATTAATAGCAGAAAAAGAAATGCAAATGTTTCATAGAGGAGGGAGAACCAATGATAGAACAGGAGGAAATTATTCTAATGACACCAATTTCAATCATGGTTCTGCAAATGCCGATGGAGTAGAGGTATAACAATTATTATAAACATATATATACATTTTTATTATAAACAAATATAATTGATAATATTTGTTAGCTTGAGATTAAATTATATAGAAATATTTTTTTTATTTTTAAAAATTATAAAGAATTTTTATCTCTTATTAACGTATTTAGGTACTAGTTCCAAGAGCCGCAGTTGGTGTTGTTATCGGTAAAGGTGGAGATATGATAAAAAAAATACAAGCAGAAAGTGGAGCTAAGGTTCAATTCCAACAAGGACGAGAAGATGGCCCTGGTGATAGAAAATGTTTATTGTCAGGAAAACATCAAGCTGTTGAACAAGCTCGTCAACGAATTCAAGAATTAATTGACAGTGTCATGGTATACATTTTAACAAATTTTATAAATTTATTGATATATATATGTGTGTGTGTGTGTGTGTGTGTGTGTGTGTGTGTGTGTGTGTGTGTGTGTGTGTGTGTGTGTGTGTGTGTGTGTGTGTGTGTGTGTGTGTGT